TATGCGAAGAGGAAGGCGAAGAAGCGGCCGCCCACCACAGAGGGCCCGCAGAATGTGCTGCCCTCGTTCGACATGCACTTCTTCTCCATGCCGGGGGCGGTCAACTCGCCGATTCTGCCCGACGACTTCCACACCACCTACTTGCCGCCCACCACGCTCTACTCGTGCAAGACGCCCCTCTACTCCAAGGCCGGCAGTGAGGGCGGCTTTATGCCGCCCTCGGTGGCCCCGCAGGGCAACGCGCTCACCAACTTCAATCTGAGCACCATTTTCCCCGAAATTAACAAGGTAGGGGCGCATCCGCCAAATTGCCCAGACGGTAGATAATTGATTATTTGGGGCTTCCAGGGCCCTGGACACGACGGATTTGGGGACACGCGAGCCAAGGGCTTCCAGGGGCCGTTCATTTGAGCCCCAGGGCGCTGTTGACCCTCAACTAGCCGATATCTGCGGATGCGCCTAAAAGGCGCATCCGCCACCCGATCCAGAGCAAGTTCCCTTGTATAATAAAACCGGTTATTTTTGCTAGTCAGTAGATTTATTCGAATGTTCACCTCCGGTTGCGGCACAGTTCCCGGATGATGTTTATGGGCGGCCGTCGGCGCAAAGACAGTGACTGGAAAAGGGCGGCGCGTCTCAAGCACTATTTCTTCATTTTGGCGTTTTTCGGCGGCCTCAAGAGGCAACGCGCTCTGGATGGCTGAACATAAGGATCCGGCTTGAGTGCATTATTTAAGTTTATGTTTATTGCGTTGGTGCGGGCGGGCCGTCGAGTGGAAATAAACCCGCTTTGGGGGCGATGCAAGGTTTGGATTGTAGCGCGCTGAGCCTGAGGAGGGCTTGGGGACCCGTTCGAAACCTGCTGGGTCTGTAGTGGAAGGGTTGGTCGTTCCATTGGGGGAACCCCCGTGGAGGCAGCTGCTCTGGTTCGGGCACAATCGACGGTTTCGAGGGGGAACAATCGAACAATCGAGGAACATTTGAAAAAATCATCCTAATTCAACCTGAYGGGGGATTTGATCGAAACTTCGYGCACTTATAAAAGAAGGTGCGCCCTTTCCAGTCGYGTMACCCCCATTGCTGTGTYTGCTCGGGTTTTGGAGAAATTGGAGAATTTGCTTTGMACTTTGCGTGTTCATGGCACAAGCGCAAATTTMAAAAATCGCCCTAAATGTGCSTGAAGAGGGCTGCYTTCGAAACTTTCACTGTACATAACCGAACATTGTGCTCTTTCCAGCCCAGGAGCCCGCTTGGCTCTGTGTGCTCTAGTTTTGCAGAAATTCAGTTCTTGAACTTTGGGTGTTTGTTTGCAACGCAAGAGCAGCATTTTAAAAAAATCGCCCTAACCGCGCCTGAAGAGGGTTGCATTTGAAACTTTCACTACATATAACCKMACATYGTGCTCTTTCCAGCCCAGAACCCYGCATTGCTCTATGCGCTCTAGTTTCGGAGAAATTGAGTTTTTAAACTTTAGGTGTTCGTGGCGCATGAGCAACATTTTCCAAAAATCGCSCTAATTCAGCTTGCAGAACAATTTTTTTGAAACTTTCCACACTCTAAAGCAAAAGTGTCGTCTTTTCAGTCTAAAACATYYASTTTTCCTGCCTGCTCTGGTTTAGTCGATACTTGAATGTTTCCACTTTTCCTCTTCAGGGTGCAAGAGCCAATCTTTAAAAAATCCTCCTAACTGAACCTGAACAGGGATTTTCTCGAAACTTTCCACACTGTTAAGGAAAAGTGTGGTCTTTTGAGTCTGGAACATTAAATTTTCCTGCCTGCTTTGGTTCAGTAGCTACTAGAATGTTTCCACTTTTCCTCCTCAGGGTGCAAAAACAAATCTTTAAAAAACCCTCGTAATTGAACCTGAAGAGGCATTTTCTCGAAACTTTCCACACTTTTAAGAAAAAGTGTGGTCTTTTGAGCCTGGAACATCTAATTTTCCTGCCTGCTCTGGTTTAGTAGATACTCGAATGTTTTCACTTTTCCTCTTCAGGGTGCAAGAGCCAATCTTTAAAAAATCCTCCTAACTGAACCTGAAGAGGGATTTTCTCGAAACGTTCCACGCTGTTAAGAAAAAGTGTGGTCTATTGAGTCTGGAACATTAAATTTTCCTGCCTGCACTGGTTTAGTAGATACTTGAATGTTTTCACTTTTCCTCTTCAGGTTGCAAGAGCCAATCTTTAAAAAATCATCCTAACTGAACCTGAAGAGGGATTTTCTCGAAACTTTCCCCACATCTCAGCGCAACCCATATCTATCCAGGCCACTGATTGGCGTTGCCAGATTTGCCCGAGCGTAGGAAAAACCCGCAGTTTTCCGTGTTTTCAAGTGCCTTCAATGTCCGTCTTCAACCCGCAACTTCAAAGGCGAATATCTCCACACCCCGACAAGCGATCGGCCTGCGGTTTTCACCGCGCGGTCCATCCGGTCGGGCCCCAAACAACCCTTTTTACCGCTTTGCTCCAGCTGCCTCCGTTTCCGAATGCCATCAATATTTAATCGAGCTCATTAAAATTCAAAGTGCCAGTTTCCGATCACTGTTCGAGTCCCCCGCCCTAAAGGGCGTCCCCCCCTCCAATTTTCCCCTGCTGCCGCCCTTTCCCCAGACCCGCCCCCCACAGTTTGAGGTTAGATTATTTGGCTGGCACATCGAATCGCTCCCCAACCTCAATTTATTGTCCTCCTGTTTGAGTTGATAGTTTTCCACAATAAAAACACGCCGCCCCCGGATTTATCGGGGAAACTGTAGTTTATTCACATATCAGCCGCCAGGGGGCCCCAGGGGGCACTGATTTATGGCCGCCCTTCCACTCCCCCCC